AATATTTTTTTTCCTCATAGCCTTAAATCAGTTTTTAGATTTTGTGCTTAGCTGCCTCTCTTCCCTTTCAAAGTCAGTTTATAATCTTACCAGCGGTCCAGCGGTGCGATGTGACTCTGTAGGTTGCTGAGTGACAGTATCGATACCACTTATCATGGTAAAAGAAAAAAAGGCTGTAAGGTTATGTAGCTATTTCAAAGACATTGGATAAAAGCTTTATCATCATTGAAGTGAAGCAGATGTTGTTTTTTTTCACTGGCATCAGGGTTTCAAAATTTTACGGAGTTTTCCATTGCAGTGAAATGTTAAGGGGTGATGCTGTCTCTGGGCTTGTCCCATTTCTCCAAGCCAGTGTACCCGCAGCAGTCACTCGTGCAGGCAAAGCCAGAAGGTTTACAGGTTGTTTTTCCTATTTCTTGGTATTTTTAATTGGGTGTCACAAAGAAGAATTTACCAAGAAGAGTTCCAGTGAATTTATGTTTATTAAGAACGTTATTAAACTCATTTATGCGTTCATGATGCTCATATATAGTCAGGAATGTTGAGATCAAACACTCCTTATTTTGGAATGCCATTCATTTCTCCTTATTATCATTTTAAGTTGCAGTGAGTAACACATCCATTTGCACCTGCATTTCCTCCTCGGGTGGCCTCTGTTCCTGCTCTGCCCACGCTGCAGCGTTACAGCAGCTGGTTAGATAAAATCATGCTGTGAATGAACAATGAGTAATTCTTCCGAATGAAAATGTTCAGGTTTATTGCTCTCACTTTATTTGGATAAAGGCGTTTCTGAGGATCTGATGGAATAAGTGTTATTTGTAAAATCTCTGGGGAGAGTGGAGAGTGGTAAATGCCTGAGCAGCGGCCACAGACAAGAAATGAAAGGTTAATTTGAGGAATTTGTATTCCCGTTTATCTAGTTCCAACCTAATAACGATTTATTTCTTTTTAGCAGATAAATGTGTTAGTTCTTGTCCAGGGGATGAAAATGACGATCTTAGCATCAAAACTAAGAGAAATAAGTAAGTTCTGAAGTCTGCTTATCTATATGTAATGTTGGGAAGCTAATGTCTGGTACAGTCAAGTGCCAAGAGAAACACGGTTACTGTCTTCTGTGGGGTAACTACACCACTAAATGATGAGAGTCATGCCTAAGGTATCCAGTCCTCACCCAGCTCCGTGATTCTCTAAAATACCTCTTTCCCATGAACATCATCCTTTTTTGTCTGGGTAACTCTTAAGTACTTGTGTATGTACTTGTGTCCTTGCAGCATCATTCCCAATCGCCTAGGGAGGGCTGAAGGCGAGAGGGGCTGTTCTGGTGCTGGGCTGCTGGAGTCCTGCACTGTATTTCTTGCCGTTTTGGCTTGAAAAAGCTCTTTGTGTGTGCTAGAAATTGGATTGGGCCTTTCACGGATCGTGGCACAGACTGAAATTTGCTGTTACGATATAAAAGTCACTGTCATTCTGTGAAGAACCCCAATTTAATGTCTCTCCCATCACTAGTAATGCAGCATCATTTCAGGGTAGCTGTAAGTGTAATGTAATTATTTGTAGAAGGCAGATAATACACTAGGGCTCCCATTACATACTGATCTAATTCATTTGCTTGGAAATAAAAAAGTGTTTTCCTGTTGAAATTTCAAACTAAATATTATTCCACAGTGGTGAAAATTGCATGAGTAGAAAATGCAGTCATGCCTAGTAGGAGGCTGAAAATCCAGTCACCTTACTTGCATTATCCTCATTTGAACCTTGTGAACATTTTAAGGCTCCGAATCTTTCCAGAAAGAGCCTTAATCCGCAGTGAACCCACTCGTTGCTCAGAGCATCATGAAACAGCAGCATGGACCCAGAGCAGGAGCCCGATTTCGAGGTTGGAGTTGGCCAACTTGCCAAAGTCAGGCGTTTCCTATCCCCACCTCAAATCCCATCACCTCCTGAAGCAGGCTCCTTCCTACCTTCGAGGTTCCCATTTAATTAACCTCTCTAATTAACCCTGTGGATGCTGAGGGCACATGGGGGCAAACCTACAGCCCTCCCAACAAGGGGGAAGTCGGTGTTGGCTTCCAGCGCCGTGAGAGCACAGTGTCAAGGGTCTCTAACTCTGCTGAACTTATGTAGACATTTATCTGCTGTGAAACGGTCCAGCTCCAGGGATGCCACTGATTCTGCAGGGTTGCACCTGAGGAGAGCATCGCTCCTACTCCGCTGATGCTTCATGGTTGCATCTTGGCAGTAACACGTCCTTCTTTCCCAAAATGAGCACAGCGGTGCTACGGCCATGCCGTTAGCCAGGGGGTCTGCTAAGGAAAGGGACTCGGGCAATAAGTAGTGAGTATGTTCTCAGAAATACGTATTTATTCTGATCAGGTGCAACCTTGGAAGAAGGCTCTTGGGGTACACACAGACCTTCTGGCAGAGACAGAGGGCAGGTTCTTGGCTCGTGCTTTGTTGCAGGGTGGTGCAGGCGATGCGCTGCCGGATCGCTTCCCGTAGGAGTGAGCTCATGGGGCGCGTGGGGACGGAAAATAAAGATCAGGGTTGATTTTCAAGTTCGAGGGCACAAAAACCAAAGGAGAGAAAAATAAACCAAGATGAGCCTCCTCGGTCACCCCTTTAAAATCTCCACTCCCTGGCAAATTTTCTATAAAGCTGTCACTTTTCTATACCTTGAGATACAGGGTAGTATTTCCCTGCTGAGCTCCTCTTTGGTCATGCCGACAGCCCATCCTTCCATGTAACGAGCTGTCAGAGGTCCCCTGTCCCTGCGTTTCCATAACGAGCCGCAGGTTTGGGTCATTCTTGGCTGTCAGCATCTGCTCCGGGGCTCTGCTCCATGCCCGCGAGGACATCCTGCCATCCGGGAGGGTTTTCTAGAGAAGGTTAAAAATCCCCACCCGAGCTGGCAGTTACTGAACTGTTTTCTATCTTGCCTTGTTAAAGAACAGAAGATTCCCAAGCTGCTGACGCAGGGAAGGCTGAAACGGAGGAGAAAAGTGAGGAAACACCAGCTCCTCAGATCACGCCTCCCCTAGAAGAGCGCATCACTCATTTCCGAGACATGCTGCTGGAGAGAGGGGTAAGAATACGCCCGCTTGCCTTGGTGGGGCTCGGTTGTGAAAACAGGGCATCGTCTAGGACCAGCACGGGAATAATTCAATAACTGTGACTTAGGAGTCAACAGAAGAATTACTGAGAGGGGTTTTGCTGGCTATTAACCGTGTAGGCATTGTGGTACTTCACTGTGACTTTTCTTCTGGCTGTGCGGAACCGAGAGCGCTTTGCGGTTCCAAAGAAATTCCTACAGACAGACCCAAAGATGGCCAGAGGTGGGAGCTCCTCCAGCGCGGACCAGTGGCTCGGCAGGGTGTGGGGACCACACGCCAGCCCGGGGGTCCAGAAGTGTTCGTTACGTGATGAGCAAAGGATGCTCCTGGCCAGCTCTTTGCTTTTTTTTTGGCGTGGGAGAGGTTTCATCACCCAAACTCCAATGATCCCAGCAGTAGGAAGCCAAGTTCACGTACTTGCCATCCAAAATCCACCCAGCCTGTTCGGAAAGGATGTACTGGAGTCTGAGGAGGGTTAAGAAAACCTGTTCTCTGTCCTGGACCTCCCGTGGACTTCCTTGAGAAGCTCTGGTGGTTCCAGCCGAGGGGTGGTGCAGGGGCGCGGGATGCTCAGGGCTGTGGGCTGGAGGGAGAAGAGGAGGTGGGGGCTCTGCCACCCGCCAGGCGAGAGCACCGCAGCAGCATCCTCCCTCCCGCACCACGGCTGGCACAGACCCAGCCACGGAGCTGGGACAGGGTACGGGAGGGCTCGGAGTTACTGCAGATGTGAGCGGGTGGTTAATGGAGCGGTGTACGCAGATGTTATACCTCCCTCCAACACTCTGCAAATATGCGTTCTGTTGAAGTTCCTGTAATTTCTATAAAGAAAAAAAAATCCAAGGTGTCTGTTGTTAGGCAGTAAAGCCTATAAAATTTATCACTCGCAATCAGTGGACTTTAAAGGTGGATAATTAGAGCTTCAGAAGCCCAACAGTCACTTATCTCCATGCCAGACCTCCTTTATTAATACGTTTTGTTAATTATGCTTTAGAAATTCAGAAGTGCCCTAAATTAATACTGGTTGAAGACTTCTGCTGCCATATTTTAAAACAGGGGGCAAGAAGTCAACATTTGAAAGAATTAGGGATATTCTGTAACAGGATTCCTCAAGTGTTTCCAGTGTAAAATTCAACTTCCTCATAAAAATAAGAACTTAAGGGAATTTACTGTTTGTTTTTGTTATTATTGAAAAATGTGTAGATAATAGTTTACTTTGCTGTTGCCCTCAGCATTCTTCAAATGTCCAGGGAAGCTGCTGGTTAGCACCAGCTGGTTGGTATCACTAGAAATGCAGGGCCATTAGCGTTTATTATTTTTGATTATTATTTTGTTTTTTTATGATTATTTAAGTGAGCATCTCCTGACATTTCTTTGTAATGCTCTTATTCACTGGTGTTACAAACAGCTTGAACTAGACGGGGTTCTTCAGCATAGTTCTGAACCTTTCTACATAAATTATTTCAGCAAAAGCATATTAGTAACATTTTAATAATGAAATGTGATTTTTGGTGTAACTCCAAGACAACACCGCTATTCTTAAGTCTGTGGCAAGTTTTCCAGTGTAAAAATGTAATCTCCGATATCCTCCTGGAAGGTGAAGAGTTTTCACAAAACCCTGAGAAGATCCTGGCTCCCTCCCAGCCACGGCATCCAAATACCCGAGTTCTCCTGTCTGCAGTTCCAGGAGATTCTTCTCTTTGCAAGGGTGGCGTCAGTGAAACAAGACTTTCTTTAAGGACCCAAAATGATATATTTTTTCTCAAGATTTTTACCTTCTTAATATTGGGGAGAAAAAAGGCAGGGGGGCTCCGAACCCACGACAAGCTCTGCTCTCTTTTCCTTTCCAAAGCCACAGAAATCATCATTTATTCTGGGAAGAGATGCCACCCCCACCATCCCAGTACATGTGTCCTTGGTTGAATGTCCCGTAGAAGGAAAGAAGACCATGCTACAATACACACTGGGAGATTAGTCAGAGTATTAATATTTCATATGCATTTTTAGAGTGAGTATCCTGAACAGCATATGATGTGTGTAGCTAGAACTAAATTATAAATATCTGTAGCCAACACTTAATTTAGGTGTGTGTCTGCAGCATGTGAAATCACTAAAGAAAAAATCATAAACAGGAAAGATTAAATGATAAATTAGCCTGAGCTTCACTAGCTTTGAGTTCAGACTGGCCTTTGTACGGTCAACAAAGCTCATGTCCGAGAGAGAGCATAACAGACATCCTGAAGAAAAGGATTTCTGCTGCGGATCCTTCCAGAGGGGGAAATCCCCAAAGCTCAGGACCTGGCTGCCCGCGTGGGCACGGAGGGCAAACCGCAAGCTCTGGGCAGCCGAAGTCTGGAGGAGGCAGCTGGGATCACCCCACATCCAGAAAGGCCGCCTGGGCTCCGAATTCTCCATTTCTGACCCCTCTAAGGGGAAACGCCGTCCATGCAAACCCACTTCGCCAGAGCTTTCCTGCTGGAGCGTTAATTACTTTAATTATACTTCACATACTGAATTTTTTTTAGTGAATTTACTCTTGGTAATGAGGTGGGGAGGGATTAGAATATTTTATGTCACCCCAGAGTTTTCTGTACCAAACTTACCAACAGTGATGTTGTAGGAGGTACCGACCTCGGGATGTCAGTCCTGCGTGCCCGGACCATCGTTTGGAGAAGTCCTGGGCAAAGGGGAGCGGGCACGTGAGGGACCAGCTCAGATCTGCGGTGGTCCTTGCAGCCTGCTCTCCATATGGAGGTTTCGGAGAAGATGGAAGAACCTCTGTACGAGCGGGATGTTCTCATTTCACGTGGCTGCAGGGATGCGATGCACAGGGCTGGGGGCTGGCTTCATCTCTGAAGATGCTCGTTATTAGTTCTGCAGCGTGTGCGTGCACCGACGGCCTCGGTCGGGTTGTAATTCAGAGAGGAGGGGAGGTAAAGCTCAGATAATTGCTTAAATGGAAATTGATGCTTCCGTTGTGCAAAGGGGATAATAAAATGGCATTTTCCTTTCTGCTGCCGATTCTTTCTATCAAAAATGTGGAATGAGCGTCTCCCAGATACTCACGGAGATGTCCTGGAGCAAATCAATACTAATGGTGTGGGGGCGACCAGAGCATTGCCAGAAACAGATTAAAATTCAGCTTCCAACCACTCCGAGGCGTCCTTTAGAGGGTTCATTAGCTTTCTGAACTACTCTCTTGCTTCACCGTGGAACATTTTCTTCTTTCCCATCCTTATTAAAATTCCTTAATCCAACTGTGTTTGTGTACTTCACAGGTTTCAGCATTTTCTACGTGGGAGAAAGAGTTACACAAAATAGTGTTTGATCCACGCTACCTTCTGCTCAATTCGGA